GACTGAAATTAAGTTATCGTCGGCGGGAAAACGACGTTCACTTTGTTTGCGTTCCGTTTTACGGATAATATGTATTCTGTAGCGCTCGAGAGTAATGGAACAAAATTGGCGGCTATTCAGTTTATCTTTTATGTCTGAATAGAGGAAGCATCGCCTCGTTCTCAGATAATGAAATCATTGTTCAAACAGTGTACGCTCTGGGGGCTCTTTTTTAATCGTTTACTTAATATTTGCTTTGTTCAGTATTTAAACGAAATTCGCCCTCATGCTTTTGTGTAAAACATGACTGGTAGTTTAATTTAACGTATTATATGAAACAAAATAATAATATACACTTAAAATATGCATTAGACCAGCATTATATTATTACACAAGTCTTTAATTTTTAAGCAGATATTAGAAATATAGCGAAATACTCTCAAGTGTGGCAAACAACACGACTGGCAGCTGAGCTCCCAAATAAAAAGCGATAAAATAAAAAGATGCCAACGACAAAACGTAGATACTTATACGTGAGCCAAATTTCTTATACAAACCAGGTTTTCAAACCAGTTACCTAACGTGACAAGTATAAGAGCGAAAATTGTGTAACAAAATTAAGCATTGTAAGCACAAGTAATATGGTAAGTTTATACATATTTACCACAAAAGCGGCTCAGCGAGAGATCGCGGGATCTGTTCCTCGGTTTTATTTTTCCAAGCTCTAAATGGAGTCGGTGGAGCATTTAAATAAGCTTCGCCGCCTGAAGTATGGTAATGTTAGTAATACGCGGAAAGAAACCGCGCGCCGTTGCTTTCAGTGTCGGCCATTTTGAATTTTCTTTTATTTCCCTCGTTCTCGACATGATTTTTTGTAATATGTTTTTTTTTTTGTAAATATACCGTTTGTGTAGTCAAAGAGGATAAAATTTCTTTAATTTTCGTAATAGTTTTTTTTTTAATAATAATAAACGAGAAATACAATCTTTAGTAGAGACGTAAGTATAAGACTTATTCTTGATCTGATCTGATTGATGATCTGTAAATACCTTTAAAACTAGATCGCACAGCCTGGCAATATTGATAAGCAACTGAAATTTATGAATATTTCCTAATCTTTTCGTGAACATTTTATTGGTTTTGCTAGTTTTTTTTTTAATTAATTGACTGTCTAGAAACTATTGACCTTTAAATCACTATTTTAGCAAATGTTTTGAGAGCAATCATTGAGTTCCGTTTAACAAGACATCCTATTACCGCAACGACTACAAACTTTATTTTGCCCAAACTAATAAATAATACGTAAAAAACCTGATTGGGTAGTTTTTACTTATTAATAGAGCAATAAATTCTTTTACGGAATGCATGTCGTAAAACCGTATTTATGTAGTAGTATCGAAAATAAACAGTACATATCACATAAGATGGCCATAACAAGCTACCGAAAACAATCCCATTAATTAAAACAAAGATTGTCAAAAACATTTCTCTTCCAAGCCCTAATTATTGTTGAACAATTAATTAATATAACATGTAAACGACACATTCTGAAACGAGCACATGTAGCTGCTGATCAAAGGGGCCGGAGATTTTTTGTCTCTTTAATTAGTTACAAATTATGTAACAAAAAGTCTGTCGAGTCCCCTTCGCTGTGAGAATGGCGTGTACTTTGTCATGGATCATCTCGCGTAACGCGTCAAAGATATTTAGCTATAGAATTAATATTTATACCACCAAGGTGGCAAATAAGCGTACAGCCTGAATAATGATCACGGAATCGCTGATCCAACTTTCTCATAAATTTCGTAAAAAAATTATGTTACGCGATAGTGAATCCTTAAATTTCTATTTAACTATCTCTTAAAGTTTTGTAAAAGTAAAAATAATCTTTACGTCTTTTATTAGTTTCATTTTTTTAAAAGGCTTGCACTCCACCCTTGATCATCTTGGCACAGATATTATAAAAATAAGCGTGCTTTCAATAATTTAAATTAAATTAAAATTGCAATAAAACGTAACACGTCGAATTGTTACCTATATTACATAATCTTTTACTGTAAGCGATCCCGCAACAGGGATGTCGCTCTTATGGCTCCAGTGTATAAGACTCTTGACAAAGACCACCATACAATTTTAACATAACCAAAATTATAGATATGTTGAACATGACAAACAATCATTGTGTGTGTGTTTGGGTGTCTGTCGCCTATTTAAAAACCAGGCTTTGTTTTTACAAAATGTTAACGTCTTACTAAAAATAATTAATGATTATGAGTCTTCATATGAGCTTCAAGTACCTCATACCATACCAGTAAAGATGATCAATTAAATCTTAAATCTAGTAAGGGCCAAAAATGCGAGTGTCCATGTAATAATATACTTATATATAATATACATACATATTATGCACTCGTTAAATGTATGTTCAATATATTCTGCACTACAATGTTGTGAACAAAATGAGCCACCTAATTAAAGCAAAACTTTACCTACATATAATGTGTATCTAGTTCACTAAATGCGGCAAACATGCATAAATATTTCACGAATACTCTAAAATTAAACATTCATCCCCTTTTAAACCTAGCCGTACCGTACCGTCTAATCATTCTCAGTTCTGAAACAGTCACGTTCGGCTGCACTCGCGGCGCTCGAACTGGCCCGTTGCTTGAGCCCTCCTCCCTAATTAGCTTCCGTAAGTTGTAAATCTAACATATACTGCACCGACGTCAACGCACCCGCTTTGATCACGCGGCAAGTGAAACGGAACGCGACATGTGAATGAATGCACTGAACGATTTTTGAACGGAGCGTTTAATGTCAAATGTGGCGGGAATTCCGGCGCTGTTAAGTTTTATGACTTTATTCTGCTCAGCTGATGATATATTATACAATATATTCTTGCCGTTTTAAATAAATCTTTAAAACTTCAATGAATTTATGCCATCTCGGTAGTTCAGTACTAAAGACTACCTACCTTGAAACCCATTTTATGTAATTTTGCAAATTATTCTAGATGTAGCATCAGGATCCCAAATACCTAGGTGAAGAACAATACAACGACGTCTTTCTTTGGTTGTTACATCAACAGACTCTACAAGTATTATGCTTAAACCACTACTGCACTAATTCTGCAAAGAGTAATAAAAACAACTTATAATAGGTATAAACGATTATAATTTAGCTACCTTCGAACTTAGTTCTGCCTAGTCACATACTACGGGTACTTACCTGATTTGAAACTAAGTACCTATCCAAATTAGACTGTTGAACCTTTAATAACTATACCGTATTACACAGTCACACAAACAACATAGGGCTAAATGACGTTAGCACTGAAGGACGTTAATCGTTCTATCATATCACTCAGTCGGCCAGAAACAATCAATTAGAATCCGATCCCCTTTCAATTATGCCTCGGATCGGTAGATAATTGCCTCGTGGCTCCACCTCGGGGCGGGCCGAATTATGTGTGATGGACATTCTATTGCTATAATCACTTTTTGATTCTAATCGTGAGATAAAAATATAATATATGAGTAACATTTTATTGTAATAGTTATTTTCTTAGCTAATATAATTAGTACGCTTGGGAATATTAGTATAATGTGGAAAGAAAAGTGGCTTGAAGGGACATTCAAGGACAATAGTTTAAATTAATAAGTGTGTAGAGGTAGTTTGTACACATACAAGGAATGAGAAGTGTAATGGATTGTCTTTTTCAGGCGGTCAAGGAAATTATTGATTTTCATAAGTTTTTATCTTAAATTAAACAACAACAAGACTTACACAACACAATTTATGCAAGATTTTATTATAATGTTTTAAGAAGATTATTTATATCAACATTTTAATCTCATAGAGAGAAGATTGAAAAGATTTATTAACACGAGACAAACACACATTGTTTGAGTATATCTGACGAGACATGGCATCTGTTTGTCTAGACTAGACTTTTAGACTAGAAAACTAAGGTTATCTAGCTATAGTTTATCTCCTAGGTTTAATGAGTAGGTAATATGAATCTGCTGAATTTTTCGATCAATCATTCTATTAGCTACATTATATTCTACAGCAGTAGACTGCTGCCTCTCTCTCTCACTTTCCGCATCCAGTTCATTAAAGCTAACTTCTTCAAGTCGTCAGTCCATTTGGTTGATAGGATGGTACCCTCTATTTTTGCGAAACGTTTAAGACAATTAATTTTAAAAAGTGAAGGAATTAAGGAAGTTTTTTTTTATGTTATCAGGTTACGTTAACGTCTATCAGAGTCGAGAATACCATTTTTATGTCTGCAATTTTTAAGATTCGTCTTCGACAGTCCGCCCTCCTGTAGGTCAATCAATTTAATTTGGCTATACGTCCGTCTCTATGTCGACACGTATCGTTTCCGTATCGGCACCTGAGCCGTCGACAGCCCGTGATGGATGACATGCAGTCACCCCTGATCGCCGCTGCCCACGATCCACTCCCGGCGACACCCCGACGTAATTAAATTTAGATAATGATTATGTAACTGCCACTCTTATGAGATTTTTTATGCGGTAATATTAAAACCCAAACGCTTTTAAATGACGAAAAAAAAAAGTTACCAAGTATGTTGACTAAAATATTTTTAATGACTAAATTTAAAAAATAACCAGTAAATACAATAAATAGCTTTTTTATAAACTTAAAATTCAAAGTCACGCAGTTAGGCTTTTGATCTTAGATGGACCATAATAGACAGTACAAGTACCTTTTTATAAACTTTTATCTTTTATTTTGGTCATTAGGTTAGGACACTTATCGCTAATACGTTGTTTAACAAAACGTTTTTACTACACCAAAAAAGGTATCCTTTTACATAACTAGCGAGATATATGATAAAAAAGTAAAAATGTCATTCGATATTCAAACGCTTGTCAGTGTCAACTTGCGCGTCAGTTGAAAACTCAAACAAAAAATGGTTGTAACGGTTTTTACAAATTTGTGGTAGTGTATATTAATGGTACGATGATATTTTTTATAAATGTGTTATAATGGACGCTGTGACTGCCGCTGGTTTGGGAGTGGTATTTATCGCAATACTTCTCGTGTTTAGATGGAAACTAAGAGCTTTGAAGGTCGGATACCAGAAATAATTATCACAATTTTAACCCCATTTAGTTACGACGAATTAGAAACGGGAAGGTTGCTATTCAGTCATATTCATGTCCTTTATTAAGTAGTTATCATAGAAAATACATTTATATAATTATGTAGTTCTATTATTATCTGATAAACAAACAATACGACCCAATGATTCATCATTGTACAATCAATAATGATACATGTCAGAATAGAAATAGAAATTCTGTGTACAGTGTATGGTTTTTTATTTGTCATTCGTTCCCGCCATTTACTAGTAAACGATTATTTATATATAATTACATAATAATACATTGTTGCCGCACAAATGATTAGTTACTATACATAAGACTTATTTTCTGTGTGGGTTTAATAAAAATGTCACTAGCATTATAATTATCTTTAATAATAGAGGTGACGGATTAAGAATACGGAGTGTCACCACCCCTATTCATCCCGTAGGTGTCGTAAGAGCCGATTAAGGGAAAAAACTACGCAGAACTACAGCCCTACAAAGAGAAGGAAAACTTGAAACAAACCCTTTACCAACCGGTCTGACCACCGTGGTATAGTACCTAGGCCAAAACCTCCTTTCTAAGAAGAGGCCTATGTACAACAATGGACTAGTAAAGGCGGTTGAAGATAATTACGAGTAGAGCTAGTTATTAAATGTCTCCATATAATATCTAAAATATGCAACATACATCGAAGTTTATGTCTCAAACAATAGCAATAAATATATGTATGGTCTGATCTATTATTAGATTATATATAGACTTGTGAATCTGAACCATTCTCGAATCCACATGAACACACACAAAAAATCTCATCGAAATCGGTCCAGCCGTTTAGTAGGAGTTTATAACATACACACGCACAGAAGAATTATATTTATAAGAATTATATAAATATATATATATATATATATATATATATATATATATATATATATATATATATGTTACATCTGTTTGGGTCTTCTACTTCCTGTCAATTATCTCTATCAGACAGGTCTCCAGTGCATATTCTTTTTAAATTCGATTCCACGCGCAACTTCAATAACAAATAGAAAGAGAATAAAAATTTACACGTGCAAATGATTTAACTAATCAAAAGGCAGTGGCCTTTTTCATTTTATTCATCATCATCATCGACAGCCTTTAGTAGTTCACTGGCTGAACATGGGCCTCTCCTTAGGAAGGCCATTGGTTTATTATAATAAAAAATAATAGGGTTGGAGTCATCTTAAGGTCTATGTGCTAGTCATCGGGCTCAAGGTGATAGTCGTTTGATGTTCTTGAAACTTCATTAAAGACAAATAAAAGTTGATGATGATGAATATAAACCATGTTTAGGAATCTAGAAAGGACTATAGTACACTATCAAAAGATACATCACACCCGATAATTGCCTTTGTGTGCAGTCTCAGCCAGAATGCGCGCTTGGCAATCAGGTACATGTGCACCGCCTCTGTCCGCACCATAACGTGGTGCAGCGATACCAGGTGGAAGAAAAAGACTCCCTCGATGAACATCTCGACGTTCTTACCAGGAAACTTGCTGAAAAGGTGAGGCATTCCCAAATTGTTTTCGAGCTTTTTGAGACTATGAGAACTATGAGAAATGGTGTTGCCGAACCGTTCCGATTCTTTCCTAATTATAATGTGATTGTTTTTGGTTATTTACCGTCATACTTGTACCGATGGTCATTTACCTACGCGGTCAGGAGTACGAAACAGGAGAATGAGTATTTCTCAATACCAATAAAAGCAATTTAAGCCGTAGGCATATGTGCAATAAATCCTACACATATGCAGTAATCAGTGGGATGTCTATTTGTAAACTGACAAGAATAATGTACAAAATCTGGTTTTTCCTTTCTAAGCACAGTGAGTGTGAACGGTCATACTCACTGTGCTTAGAAAGGAAAAACCATTTCAAATTCAGCAATACATTACGGAATGTATTGCTGAATTTGAAATGCGTATAGATAAACTATATGTTGGCTACCACTCTTTAGCGTATTGCCAACTGCAATCCACAAATGTCGACAAGAATAATAAATTCCATATATACAGAACATCCTTATTCTCATTTCTGCCTTGTGCTAATTTTAATGTATTTTTCCTCATATTACAAAGGCAGCAAATTAAGCTCTTGGCCTTTCACAGCGTTTTGACACTGCCAACGATACTCTATTCTTAATGAAATAAAAATCCGATACGCTCCGGAACAAAAACTATATTAGTACTACTATTGAGCCGCGCCAATATGCAAGGTTTATTCATTCATGTCAGCGAAAATATCCTAAAAAAATTAAGAAACAACATAAAAAAAAGATGACCGAGTTTCAAATTATTTACAGGAGGGTCGTCTTCGCCTCTCGAAGTCGAAAATCCGTCAAACCCAAAACGAGATCGAGAACCTGCACGCCATAGACCATGACGTGAGGATCAAGTACCGGGAGATAATGGAATCGTTGCGCAATGACTTACTCACCAATGAGAAAGAATGTAAGAAGCTACAGGAGCAGATTGAGTGGGTATCCAGGCGACGCGGTGAGCTTAAAGAAGAGGTAAGGCAAGCCTTATTTCTTGGCATTAACTATTTTCTTTATTATTAACTATTATATCTCTATCTCTATGTTTGTTAAAAATTTTGACTATCATAAAGAGAACAAAAAAATAGAACCTCTCGTTGTTCTCTATTACAGTCACAATGTATGTACGTTACAAAAAATTTTAGATGAGGCCTACATTCAACAGTGAACGTAAGCGAACTCCTTAACTATTGCAGGTAAATAAAAGGCCCTACTGTATATTGCAATCATAATAATACAGAAATGAATAAATTAATGGTAACCAGGTCTAATAGAGCAGAGAAAGGTAAGCAACCTGACTTTTACATGTTGCCTACCTTTGCTTTGTATTGATGGTGATATTTAATTGAATATTACACGACAGTCGGGCGCTCTCTCTAGAAATAATAATAATAACATCTTATTTATCTCACATTTCACCCACGGCTATCTGATCCTAAACTAGGCATAGCCTTTACTATGATAATCAGACTGCTGATAAACATACTTATATATTTGTAAATTCATACATATGTAGTTAAGATAATGTACAAAGGTCGACCTAGTGCCGTAAGCATTCTCTGCTAGTCTTCCTCTGGGTGGTGTAGAGATGAGTGATTAGGTACATTAAACTAAGTAAGGTAAACTTTATGTTAGTGCCTCGAACAAGCCCGTCTTATAGGCACGAAAACAATAGAACTCGTGGTACGTAAATCTAACACTAGCTATTGCCCGCGGCTGCGCTTACTTGATTATTTCTTATTTCGTGTTTCTAACTTTGAAAATGACAAATTTCCATTCAACCATTCATCCCTTATTTTACCTCCCTAAGGAGGTTAATCATTTCTTAGTAAATAACTTGCCGAAAATCATTTCTTAGTGGGTGCTTACAACATTAAAAGCATAAGCTGCCAAAAATTTTAATTGGTCCCCCCCCGCGGTTTAGGTTACTTGTCCAATGGCATCCTTATCTCTTAAATGTAAGTCACATTCAAAATAAAAGGGACTCTGCTGTTTAGGAATCATAAGATATGAAGGTGCCGCAAACTGCAAACAAAAAATCTTAACCGATCAACGGATTTTGATAACGTTTTCACTTGTATGTGTGTACCACACATACATTTCACTGCTAAATCCATTCGCGCCATCCGTAAACATACATCCTTATGATGAAACATTATGTCCAGGTACGTCGTGGACAAAGGCTGTACGGAGAAGCGGCTGCAGAACTAGCAAGCAACTTAGCTGAACTTCAACGCGGACGACTCCCAGAGCATAGAATAATAGACAAGCCTCAAGCGCAGTACTCGTATTCATCGCTTAGAGTTCGCAAAGAACCTCTTTTGCCCAGATCGAGCCCTGTCACGTCACCGGACAAGAAACAAAGGCATGTGATTCAGCCTCTCAATCGGTCCCAAGCTGAAATATAACCCCATTCAGGTTCTGAGTCAAGTAGAAAAAGTCAGAATCATGGTGCTGGTTGGCTTATGACTAATATTTCCAGATTTTTTACTCTTCTGTCGTCTAAGTAGTGAAAAGAAAGAGTTTTTATTTATTTGTACCTTTGGATATTTACTATTTATTTTTTGATATTGTACTTTTTTATTATTAAATATTTCATGCGCTAAATTTACCTGTATTATTTATAATTTATAAAAATTTACCCTTATCTGTATAGTCACCACAGACTTATGATTTTTTCACACGATCTATCTTATCCCAAAGCTTAAAAACGCTAAGAACACCAGCGAATGCGTGTTACCTACAATTTCCAATGAAAGATACATAGTCCAATATAGACATAATTGTAAACTACATTCATACACAGAATTAATTTCTCTTACTCTCATACACCCATTAAATATAAATATTAGATCTTAAAATATTTTTAAAAATAGTCATTATTAAACAAAACTTATGGTAAGTAAAGTAAAAGATGTTATTTACAAAAGACTCATATTCGTTTCCATATAACAAGAGTTCAAAATTTCATAAAAAAAATATGAAAATATTGAACAGAACTCAATAAAAGTGACTTCAATCGACGCATCCAAAACAATGACAAACCACTGCAGCATTCAGAACTGGGCCCCTATTTATTTTATATCTCTCGTTAATTCCGAGGGTTAAAATCCCCGAAAAAGTGAGCACTTGCCTTGTTTACAAGGTTTTAGATTTTAATTTAGATTGGGGTTGGGTTACGTAGGGTGACAAAGGGGCATAAACGTCACTATCTGTAACGGGAAAATTGGGCTCTTTCTACTTGTACGCTTAAGTCGATGGGTGCGCTAAGAGGGGTTCTCTGGACGTATCCATTAAAATCGCATTCGTGTGTGATCACCTAATACAATATCATCAAGTCCGTGCCGGGGGTGCTTTGTGAATAATTTCGCGGCAATCTGCTCTCGCTTGTATCGGATTTGTATAATATCATAATTGGTATGGTATGAGTACGTGTTATAATTTATTTCAAATGTAAAAATATAAGAGAAAATAGAATAGAAATTATATGTCAAATATAGACAAGACAAAGAATTGGCGAAGTAAATGAAAAAACTACTTTTGTTGTCGCAAGAAAAACTGAAGATTAAACAAACCTTACCTAGGAAAATTAAGACCGCCTCTTAACATAACGTGCTGTTCATAAAAACGGTCCCCTTTTAAAATTGAGAGGGTAACACTATTCAAATATTATTTGAGGTAATTAATTAAATACCAATGTTCAATTATGAACAAATACATCTGTCACTTTTTACCGTGTTTGTGTTCCTTTGACTAACATTTGTTTGCCCGGGGCAAGTGTTTGCGTTAACTACAATAATGTGTTGATCAAAAGCGCAGTGATGCTTGTTCTTACTTCATTGGTGTGTTTGACCTTAGTAGAAACTTATTTTAAATATTTGTCGCAAAGTATATTACTATAAGTACGGTGTACTGTACTACCGCACTGTACTATGTTCTAAAAATTATAGCCCGCGGCTACGGTTTCTTGAATGTACCTTTTCCAACCCTTTCAAACTTTTGCTCGAAATTAAAGACCATCTGTGCCCTTGCTGAATACCTGACAACGTGCTTGCAAAAAATCATCCGGACCCTTAGCGAACAACATTTATATTATTTACAAGTTATCGTTATTTACTGTCCATTTGGTGACAAAGGACGACACTAATCTTAAGAGCGCGTATAAAGCCAGCAAAATTTAAGAATTCACCCGCGCTCCCCGCCCGCTCCCCTCACATCGAAAACGATCGCGCGTGTACCTTTTTTTTTTTTTTTTTTTTTTTTCCGTGCGGAAATCCCCTCGGATACCACCTGTCGGTGGCATGTCGGACTCGAACCGACTAAAACCGCACGCCTTCGCCGGGTACTAATAGCCGGGGAACCAGGTATACCCTAGAAAGGAAGGCCCTGGTGCCCCGACATACCTCGGGTCATCTACAGACGAGTAGACGACCCCCGCCCCGTGTGGGAACCCCATGTTCCCTGTGCTCCCTGGAAGCGAGCGCGCTTCGCAACGCGCTCGCCGCCACCCCGGCCTGCTTCTGCTAGGGTGACAGATGGCCTCACCTGTCACCCCCAGGCCTGCGCTTATGGAGGACGGAGGTCGTTCTGCGACCTCCGGCGCCTGAGTCGCCTGCGCTGCCTGGCCCGTGCCCGGGCCTGGCGGGCCGGGAGAGTTCTAAACCTCTCCCGCTCCCGCTCCGCCGTCTCCTTCGCGAGCATAACTTGCTCGCAGAAGGAGACGGCAGAGTTCCACGCACTCTCGCTCCGCACGATAGCCGCAATCAGGCTATCGAGCGAGAGAACTCCCACTCCGATGGCCGCCACGAGGTCTCGCCTCTGCTCAACCCACGCCGGGCACTCTGCCAGCGTGTGGAGAGCCGTGTCCACGGTCTGGCCATCGCAGTGGTGGCACTCAGGCGTTGGCTCCTTGCGGATCAGACACAGGTGATCTCCGAAACATCCCTTCCCAGTGATCACCTGCGTCAATCGGTATGAGAGGGTCCCGTGACGCCTCTCGAGCCAATCCTCCATAACGGGTCTTACCGCCGCAATGACGGCGTGCCCGGATCGCGCGTGTACCTACGCTCTCGCTCGACGCGTATCTTCTGTAGTATACGTATAATAATCAGATGAAACAACTGTATTCAAACTATGACTGCGTTATAACAATATTACGAAATGTTTTGTGTACACGAATAATACGTAAATAGTAAGTTAGTAGGAGGTGACTATACCACTGATACTGAACACGAATCAATAAAAAATCAATACCAAAAAATAATATTATATTTATTTCAAATATTCAATCAATCAATCATATCAAATATCAATCAATAAAAAATCATAATAAAAATCATATTCAATCGCGTCTTTCTTATCAATATTCCGTAATTGGTATAATAATTTCTTGTAATAAAGGGCTATGGGGTCCAGCTGCAAAATTATTTGAACTAACGAGATCTCGGTCTCCTTCAATTATAAATCTTTCAGAAGCAGTACTGCTCGGACCGGGTTGGTCTCCTTCAATTATAAATCTTTCAGAAGCAGTACTGCTCAGACCGAGTTGGTCACGTGATATGTTTAAGGGTGGGCCCTTAAACATATCACGTGACCAACCAAACCAATACATATTTTCTCTTCAGGTTTTTTAAAGATTTGCCGCGTCATACAAGGAACCTTTGTTTGATAGATTTAGTGCTTTTGTCACCGACTTCGAATCGTTCCTATTATCAACTAACCTTAACATTATCAACGTGGGCTCGGAGCCGACATTTGTCACATCCAGGGCCCAAACTATAATTGATCTTACATTAGCAAGTGAGCACGCACACACAACACATATCGAACTGGCATGTTTCGAACGAAGCATCGTGCTCAGACCATCGCTGGATCAAATTTAACTTTGAAATGAAACTTAAACTACCCGATCCCCGCACAATGGACCGGAAACGGTATGAACATCTTACTGCGGAGAAACTGCGAAGCATCAACCCAACATACGCTACGGGGACTATTAAGGACATTGACAGTCATGTTGTCAACCTTACACAGACACTGATCGATTGCTTTGAACAAACATGCCCACTTTCCATACCCAGAACTGGACCACAGAACAAACACCAATGGTAGGGTCCGGAACTGGAAAGACTACGTCGTAAAGTGAGAAAGTTGTTCAATAAAGCAAAAAACTCGCGATTAGACCAACATTGGGATGCCTACACGCAGGCCCGACAACAATATAAGAAGAGAATCAGAACCAGGCAAACTGAGTGCTGGAGAAACTTCTGTACTAACATAGAGAACAACAACCAGGCTAATAGAGTCAAAAACATACTGTGTAGTAGAGGCGAACACAATCTTGGCTCACTGAAGAAGCCTGATGGTGAGTATACCAAAACAGACTCGGAAGCCTCAGAGCTGTTTTTAAAAACACACTTCCCTGGATGTCGCATATCAGATGTGATGGAAAAATGGGAAGACAGATGGGAAAACCCACCAGATGATACGGGCATTAAGCATATCGCCGTCCACTGCTGGACGAAGGATTCTTTATCCGGTCTTAGGCAGTCCAATACATTATAATGTGTATAAATCGATTCTTTCTCATTCAATCTTTATTTTCTTATTCTGATTTTGCCATCACCACCTACATCTCTAGTGACAACTAGCACTAAACGTCACAGAAGTGATACTATGTGAAAAACGAAACAGGAGATCATTGAGGCCAGGAGCTTGAATACAGACGTAGCAACTGTGTGTTGCGAGCAAGTGGACCGTCAAATTAGAACGCGCGATAAAAGATACGCTGTATTTGTGCCAGCAGAGTCCTAACTCTACAGAACAACAATAAATTATTCTACAAGGATCTCAGTATCTATAACTATTAATATTGCCTACTTATTAAAATTTGCCCGCAATGCACTGAAAACAGCATTGTCAAGCAAACACAGAAACCGTAACCAATCAGCCATATCCGTCAAGGATATGGCTGATTGGTTACAACAAAATAATTTATGGTGAATTGGTAACGCGAGAAATTCACAATATACACGCAATGTCTCCTATAAGTCAAAGGCGTGGTGACGATAGGAATTCAAATCAACACGAAATACTTAAACTCGTAGTATTTTTCTTTATGTCAGTGGATGTCGGAGTACTCGGTGAACATACATCCAAAAAAAAACATACTATGGAACATAGAAACTCCTCCTTTTTGAAGTCGGTTAAAAAATAGATGACACTAAACATCCTAAATTGATATCGTTGTCCAGGTGTTTGATTTTGAATATAGTCGTCGAGTATAGTTGAGCCGTGTGTAATTGGAGTATTTTGTACTTCGCTTCCTTCGTCTAGCAGTTTCTTGCTAATATGCCTTACACACAGACAAATCTTTGACTTTTGCCTCAATATCGGATTGGATCACCTTGCTTGAACGTACTCATACTAATGATTTGTATAAGGCGTATCCGGTGTTAACGTCTTTGTCAGCCGATTGAAACGCCGCACTTGTCGCTTGCAAACGTTCTAAGATTCCATTCCACGATATTGTCATTTTTCTCCTTTCCAATTTACTCATCCTTGAAACTAGTCCGTAAGTCATTGCGGTACTCTGCCTTTTGATTCACGTTATTAGATATATCTTTCAAACTTTTTTTGATCGTAGTAAAACCACATAATATAATCTTCGTAGCATCAGCTTAGGGTGACCACCTGGTGTCCGGCAACATTTACAAAACAGGAATTTTTCACGTACTTTCTTTAATTGCGTTACGAACCTTCTACACATGGATGGCGATAGGTAGAAGCGGAAAAAATATTATAAATTTTCAATGAAATCAAAGAAAAATTATGCTTCTGTGCAGCAGTCTGCAGCGCTGTGTTTAGCAGACTCATTAAGTCTGCTAAACACAGAATGTATTCTGCACACTTATTGATTTGCGAAATACATGTTTGTAAGCCCCTGTATTTACCACTCATATTGCTGGTTTCATCATAGCTTTTGCCCACAACAATCTTTGATATCAATGCTATTCTCACTTAAAAAAATTAATCAGTTTTCAACGAGTTGTTCAGCGGTATGGTCTTCTATATTCAAGAACTTAACAAACTTGCCAGTGGTCCTGAATAATATTAATTTAGCAAATAATTTGATCCAGTATGTTTGATACAATTAGCTAGATAAACTCCTCACACGTTGTTTTTGATAAATATGTCTTGTGATCCTTTCCTTTAGTGGCATGACTTTGAATATGTTGTGCCATGAAGGCTTAAAATTTCGTGAATAATTCTAATGAACCTAACTAGTCAATTAGTAGATACTTTTTTACGATCAGAAAGCGTTGGTGGGGGGCTCCCTAATGCGCAGGGCCTGTAGCATTTGCAACTCTTGCTACGTGGCTAATCCGCTACTGGAACTACGCAATTCACAGATTATGTTTTTTAAGTGTCACTAGCAGTTATGGGCGTGCTTTTTGCTTTAGAGCCGTTCATTTCTCAACTTCGCTCTTTGCTGAGAACTTCCTAGATTAAGCTTGTGTAAGAAATTGTTTGTAGCAGACGTAGTAGTAAAAATCTGAAAATGTTTTTAATTACATACATAAAAAGATGGTCATGGGTTTCGGTAGGCTTTGAGGTTATAGCGTAAATATTTAAATAAATTTTATATGTACAGGTAGATGGTATCTTAACTGATTGTGCCTTTACATAAAAGTACATCAACAGTAAAATACTCCCCCGCGAGTTAGTCCCATCAGGTTTTAAATTCGCTAAGCGACACACACGTACACACTGTTTACGTTAAATAAACCAACATGATGTTTTCTTTCCAGAACAACTGTTTCTATTTAAACATCAACCTTAACGCTATAAGAATAAGGCGAAAAGATGACTTTCAAAGTATCTCAGTTCGTAGTGTTATATCTAAAGAATATTAAAAGTTGAGCCACCCTTCTAAGTAGAAGCTTTTTTCTTTTTGTCCTTAATGTAAAAAGAAAACGCGAAAAGTTTCGGGACGCGGCGAGTTTAAATTTTTCCACCCCTAATGCGCTTATTACGAGCAGGGAAAAAAATTGATGGTTCTCAAACTTTTCAAATATGCACGAGTTTTTATTGTGTGTACTAAGTTTATTATTATTATTATTTAGGTCACTGTGCAAATAGACGTAAAAGACTAATCATAATCAAATGAAATTGTGTAATTCATATAATATTAACTACAAACTTTCAAAGTAGGCACCCAGCGCATTAAATTACTTGCTCGGAATTTCTTGCTTAAAATATAGAATTTAGAAAGACTACATTCAGCAAAAAGTCCTAGAAGTCAAGAATACCACTGGCTTATCGAGTCTTAGGCCAGTATAGTAGGCCAAAACCTCTTTTCTAAGGAAAGGCCTATGTCCAGCAGTGGAATATTAAAGCTGTTGATGATGATGATGATGATTTCCGCGTCCTTATCAATGGACTCACATGTAACGGAACATCGTGTGAGTTGGTTTGATTCCGACATACCACTTTATCAATAGCCCCGTTTGTCCAAACGACAAAAAACCATTAAATAAGACAAACAAATGTGTTAAATACGTATGAATGGAAAGGAAAGAGAATAAAAGGGCGTCAACTTACTTGTGACTCAGGTTACAGATGTCCATGGGCGGCGGAAGTAACTTACTATCAGGTAAACCCATCTTCTCAATTTTACTCCTCTATCTTCCATACAAATAAATAAGATTAAAGTGTCTGTTTGTTATGTGAAAATAAGATTTTTTCCATGCCGACACCGTTATTTGAAGGATACATATGTCTAAAAACCAGTTTACCTATTTTTTCTGTCTGTTTGTTCTGGGTAATCTTTTAAACGGCTGGACCGATTATGATAATATTTTACTACCAGAGTAACTTAGGCTATTTTTCCTCTCAGAAAAACCCTTTAACATTTTGGCTTTTGCAAATTCCACGCGAACGAAGTTGCGGGTACCAGTTAGTAAAAACTAAAATATAAATAAACGAAACTGCCTACTACAGACAATGGTGAGCACATGAAGTGCTTTATATCTAAAAGTTAGGTGTTACCTTTGACGAAAAGATTACTTCCAATATACATTACAACACAAACTGAATACTCATTAGAAGAGTAACCATTATTGGCATTAACTCTCAGAAATGTTAAGTAAGAAATAAAACGAAATCATATTTAATAATGTTTGAGATTCTTATGTCCGTCGTAGAAGAATCATCCTGAGCACAGAGGGCGCGTCGTCATTTACATTTTTATTTTATTTACAGCTAGCAATCGCAAGGCACAGATAATTCTCGGCTTCCGGATAGAATAGATTGGAAAGTTACAACAAAGCCTACCATACAGATCTGGAGTTAACTACACAATCAAATAGATATTTTTTAAGTGAACAAATCATTTTTTTTGTCAAACGTTATTATACAGCTGTGTTTGTATCTAACAATGGTATTAATTAACTAACAATATCATAAATTGTTTATAAATGAATGGACAAGTATAATATTTTAAAAAAATCTAAATTCTTGCCTTTTTATTGTCAAGGCAAAATTATGCTGTTTAAAAAATCCTTAAATAAATTTTATATTTCTTTAAAATCGTTTTTTTATTTTTCGATTGTTTAAATAATTAATTAATTTGAATGTTTTCAAAGTTAACAATTTTTTTAAACAATTACTTGACACAAACCCTATATAACCCGTCTGGCCAGCGTGGTATAGTAGGCCAAAACCTCCTTTCTAAGAGGGGCCTATGTAAAACAGAGGACTATTAAAGGTTGTTGATGATACAATAAGACATAGACAAATAATCTTCTATAGCTCAAAAGTACATTTTTTTATGGTATTGGGGGGCAAAGGAGAAGACGGGTCATCTGATGGTAAGGTGCTACCACCAACCATAGACACAATATAATTAGTATAAATGTTGACTTATCGTGTTAAAAAATACATTGCAACATGGCAGTTCAAGTTATAGGTACTGGTGAACGAAATAAAACAAGACAGACAATCTCTAGCTCTAAATGATATAAAAGAGAAGTAAAAAAACGCTTTAAATTAGAGATATCGTTAGTTTATTAGTTAGAGATATAATAGATTATACGTATATAATACATTTCATAATTAGATATTTAAAAAAAAACATTAAAACCTTATCTTTCGTTTTTTAACAGTTTACAAAAACTCCTTGCTCCAGGTATCCAACCCATTGTAACAATCGGACACTTGTTTAGAATTGGCATTGCAATTCTTCCTTAAAAATCTTTCAAATGATCGTCTATCCCTGTCCATCACCAAATATTGACCTAAAACTTTGTCAGCCTGCAACAAAAGAATTACTTATAGAAACACACGAAACACATACTTTATCAACGATCATATGGCCGTGGGAGAGCCATGCTTCGGCACAAATTAGCCGCCTTGATCGCGGTACTACCACCACGACCGCGGCTCCATAGAAAACAGCTTTTCATTACTTTTTACTGAGTGTGTAAAGTATTGGTTTTGGCCTTGGGCTGCTATTGCTGCATTTAGACTGGCCGCTGCCACCCGCGACGGACGTAAAACCCGAGCGGCGACGGCCGCTTTGCCTCCGCATGTTAAACCTCTCATATCTTCATAACATATTCATTTTAATGATATACTATATTCAATTGGAAAAATAATGATAATGTATTGTTTAAAGTAGCTTCGTAAATAACCCATTATTTTTCGTAGTATTTCAAAGATAAAAATGGTTACCGTGGGCTACCCTTAAGAGATAGACATATATTTTTGTAGATCTTTTTAATTTATACAATTCCGTAGCACATTATTTTGGTCTATCTCTTAAGGATTATCCAGCCCATGTTTTTAAAACAAATCTTTGAAATTCCTTTAGATTTTTACTCTTTTAATATGCATGTATCATATAGATATACCTAAACCTTTCTCTTGAATCACTCTCTCTCTATTGGTGAAAAATTCCGTTGATTACTTCAAAATTAAAGTGTAAAACAAATAAAAGCGACTTTATTTTATACTCTGCGAAGATCTGATAGTGGCGTGCAATGGGTGACTCCTATGTCCAGCAGTGGACTGCGATAGGCTGATAATGATGATGAATATAACTCCCCGTTCATATATTTATAACACTTACTGTGTTGTATCCTCGTCCTGAGAGTCTTTCGCCCAACGTTTCTCCAATGCCCGGCAACTCGGTTACTCGCTTGCCTCTTATTGGCTCTGCGACAAAGTTCCTATGCTTCTTAGAGGTGCTGGACATTTTGTAGGTACTAATTGGCTTTTCTATAAACAATAACATACTATTAGATATCAAAATTTTGAAAGTAAAATTTTAGGTACCTATCTTAAATACTTTAATTTCTAAATTCGTGTGGGGTATATGTGTAAATACTCAAATTTATTCACAGACCAGGCTTGATTATTTCGTAGAAGCAATCGATAACATTAACAGCGATTTGTAGGCAATCAAAAACTTGTCTGAGCGGTTCTGCGTAACTGTTAACCCCACCAAGTATCAGTCAATAATCGTAGGTAGCCCCAGAATGATGGGCAGATTAGACACGTCAAAACTGCCCGCAATCGTCTACAATGGATCCATTGTATCGATCAGCCCATTTGTCAAAGATCTTAGCTTATGGATTGATAATAATATTAAATTGGTTGCAATATGTGGTTGCCAGCCTAACCTAGCAACATATTACTTTCTAAATTTTCCTTAACAATTACATGCCCAATATGTGGTTCTTTTAACGAAGTCTTTTTAAGAATGAAAAGAGCTTTAAATTATATTTTTTAATAAAATAAAAAGGATTAAAAAAAAACTTTTTCAGGGGGTTTTCCGCACAGAAAAAAGGATTTAAAAAACCTTAACCCATCATTTTCAATACTGTTTAAAATAAATGTAATAAAATATAAACACATTATAGACATACCTTAACGCTTGATCAAAATAAAACTGCAAATAAATCACTCACGAATGCAGATGGTTTATGCAGTAACAAAGTTAAACACTCATATATATATAGTTTTTCCAAAACATAGATAAGCCAATGCCGACCCAACAACAATTATATTGCACATAGATAAAACTACCGCAATTATTCTTTCTGTCTGTCTGTAAACAGTACAGTACACATGCTATTAATTAATTGTACCATTTAATAATTTATTGTTACTCATTCATTTATTGTTACTTGAAAATAAATACTTACATTAAGATACTTAACTCTTTAACATATAAGTAGCTTATTTACATGCATGCGTCAAAAATGACTACGCACCATAGCCTACTAGTACCTTTATACTTAATGAAACTACTAATCTATCCATCTCATCATCATCATCATCAACAGCCCTTAACAGTCCACTGCTGGACATAGGCCTCTACTTACAATGGAGGAGGAGGTATATCTATCTATAAGAATATAAGGAAATCGCCAGAATTTATGTACGCGCATAACTTCCGAACGACTGCACCAAATTGGGTGATTCTTTTTTTCTGTTCGTTATTGTCAGGACAAGGTGTATTTAAAGAAAATTTAAAATTTAATAATAAATTTAAAATGTTTAAATCTCGTTATATGAGAAGTTAGTGAGTGAATGAGACTAAATACTGTGAGAGATCTATACTAATATTATAAAGAGGTAAACTTTGTGAGTAATTGGGGTAATCTCAGGAACTACGGGAACTACTAATTGAAAATTTCCTTTAGTGTTTGATAGACCTTTTATCAAGGAAGGATATATGTTGCGAGAACGTGCAAAATTTATTCCTTTTGACAGAAGCAGACAAAGCTGCGCAGGTTAGCTAGTAGGTACTAAAATCTTCATTGTACCTACCCAGGTAAAAAAGAAAACATATTTTTGAATGTAACACATCAACAGCTTTTAATAGTCCACTGCTGGACATAGGCCTCTCCTTTGAAAGGAGGTTTTGGCCTACTATACCACGCTGGCCAGACGGGTTGGTATAGGGTTTGTGTCAAGTTTTCCTTCTCTTTGCAGTGCTGTTGTCCTGCGTAGTTTGTATATTAAATATATATTTTAATTGCAAGCAATTTAAATATGGCTCTCATAAAATCTCTGTAAAATAAGAATTCCTAAACTAAGCACTCACGAATTTGTGGATTACACAAAGTGTCGTCCCATGTGGGGATCGAACCCACAACACTCAGCGGCGTGGCGACCGCTTAAACGCCATCCATGCAGTCAAAGATTGAATCAGATATCTATACTATTATTATAAAGATGAAGAGTTTGTTTGTTTGTTTGTTTGTTTGAACGCGCTAATCTCAGGAACTACTGGTCCGATTTGAAAAATTCTTTCAGTGTTAGATAGCCCATTTATCGAGGAAGGCTATAGGCTATATATCATCACGCTTAGACCAATAGAAGCGGAGCACTAATAAAGAATGTTTCAAAAACGGAGAAAATTTATTACTATTGAGAGACGCAGACGAAGTTGCGCGGGTCAGCTAGTTACTAAAATTGACAGGTTGCTTGTTGCCAACAGAAACTTCCACAGTATTTAATAAATAAATAAATAATATTGTACCACATGCACACAACGCCATCTAGTCCCAAACTAAGCAGAGCTTGTACTATGGGTACTAGACAACTGATATAAATACATATATACTTTTTTTTTGTAAATACATACTTATTATACATAGAAACACCCAGACCAAATCAAACATTGTGTGTTCATGCACAAAAATATTTGACTTGAGCGGGAATCGAACCCGCGACCTTTGGAATAGCAGTCCGTTACACAAACCACTACGCCATTCGGTCGTCACATCGCATTTCATTTCTTTTTTTATATTCGTGATCAGCGCCATTTATAGACCCTTAAAATCACGTTTATAGGGAAATGTCGTTAAGGAATGTCGAAAATTGCTTGCAACTGTTTTTTATCTGTATGACGTTTTGACCACCATAAAAATAGGCGCAAGGTAATTACGACCCGATCTTCGTTTGTTTTTACCAATTGTCATATAAAAAATAAGTATAGTGTCTTCTCAATGGTGCGGATGCTATCAATGCGGTTTCACTGTTACCATTAATGGTGCAGACGAAACTAATGAATTGGGCCAATGATGGCCCAATTCATTAGTTTCTCAATTCATTAGTTGGGCCTCTGCACCAATGATGGTGAAGGTCAATCCGGCCGGCCGTTATACGCTCCATGGCCGGTAGTGACAGATGTTTTTGTTTGATGATACGAGGGCGGGTCAATAAGTCCGTGACTTTTGGAATAAAAAACAGATTTTTTGATAAATAAATCATTTTATTTTTCAACGTAGTCTCCCTTGAGCTCTATACACTTTGTCCAACGCTTCTCCAATTTTTTTATCCCTTCCAAAAAATATGATTTGTCGAGGTCCTCAAAATAGGCCTTTGTCTGCGAGATGACTTCATCATTGGAGTCAAATCTTTTTTTACCAAGCCATTTCTTCAGGTTTGGGAACAAGAAGTAGTCACTCGGAGCCAAATCTGGAGAATAGGGCGGATGAGGGAGCAATTCATAGCCCAATTCATGGATTTTTGCCATGGCAACTGCACTGTTTTTTCTTGGCCAAATGAGGTTGGTTTTTTTTCAAATCGTCATTGAATCGGTCCAATAAGTTGGCATAATATTCCCCATTGATCGCCACAGTCGCCATAACTTTATTGGCTGACAAACCCACCTTGGCCTTCTTTGGCGCCGATTCACCCTTAGAAACCCACTGTTTTGACTGTTGTTTGGTCTCTGGTGTGTTGTGATGGATCCATATTTCGTCCACGGTTACAAAACGGCGCAAAAACTTCTAAATATTGCGATTAAACAACGCCAAACCATCCTGTGAAGTTGTTACACGATTGCGTTTGTGGTCGACTGTGAGCAATCGCGGCACCCATCTTGCGGAAAGCTTTCTCATGCCCAAGTGATAATTCAAAATTGAAACCACTGAGCCATGCGAGATCCCTACGGCTTCCACAATCTCTTGCACTTTCAATCTTCGGTCGGCCAACACCATATCGTGAATTTTTTCGATTGTTTCGGGTGAAGAGACCTCAACTGGGCGTCCAGGACGTTCGGCATCTTCAGTGCTTGTACGGTCACAACAAAATTCAGTAAACCACTTTTTTACCATTGAAATCGATGGTGCAGAGTCCCCATAGTATTTATCAAGCTTAGCCTTGGTCTCGGTAATGGTTTTTTTCGCAAAAAATAATGCTTAATAAGCACACGAAATTCACTTTTTACCATTTTTTCCTCAAATTACTGGGTAGTCTGATAAAGATAGCTGTCAAACACAAACTAACTGACGCAGCAAGTTCAAATTTTGACAGGAGTCAACTGACAGATGCCTGTTGACAGGAGTAGTGTTGCTTTTTCAGTAAAGATGTCAGAAATTCAAAAAGTCACGGACTTATTGACCCGCCCTCGTACTTAATGGAACTACTAATCTATCTATCCATCTATCTCATCATCATCATCAACAGCCCTTAACAGTCCACTGCAGATCCGCATTATAATGAAATATGTTAATCGTAGCGTTGTCAACAGATAAAAAAAAATGAGGTTATCAATTTCACGATTTTTAGACCCATTTACCGATAATTCTATCAGATTATTGTTATTATACCTACATACCGATTAGATACACGAACTCCATCACCTTTGTTTGTTTATCTATATGACATCATTTCCTTTGTTTTGAAAACTTGTGATTATTAAAGAATAGATAAGGTAAACGACCCTTAATTCGTCACTCGCTTTTTTGAGACTTTTTGTTTTTAGCGCAAAAATATAAGGAATATGTGGTCTATCTGTGATTACTGCACGTACCGTCTTGAGCGCGTTATCTCAAGTGTGAACGGAAGTACGAAAAGAGGTGAAATGATACTCGCCCGCTGGCCTGCGCTTTTAGTCGTATTTTCGCTTAATGAGTTTTATCAGTCTTTGAAAGTAACATAGGTAGGTATATATTACCTTACTATTAAAAAATTTCAGTAGCTCCAGAGTAAACTTTGCGTTCATTCGACTTAACCATTTCTTTAATATCCTCCAAGTTTGCGTTTCGATTGCGCCGCCATATTATCGAAACAGAGAAAAGAAACTTTGCCAAAAATTTGTCAAGGTAGAAATAAAGAAGTTATGAGGGTTTTAAGTTGGCCGCGCGAACGAAACGTGGAGGATTGCGCGGCAACGGAGATCTCAGCAACTACTTAAGCTAGAGATCTAATTATTTTTGTCGATTGAAGACAAAATTT